GTACAAAGTAAATTGAGTATAAAGGGGGGGGTCCTACAGTCAAGTAATCCTTTTGAAATTTAAAAGTAAAGAAGGCAATTAATTTTTCTCTTTGAATATACTTCTAATGGAATCCAGTAAATCTACACATTTTCCCCTGCAATGCAAATACAAATTTTACAAACTTTATTTTTTTTTACAAATTTTGCAAACTTTAACTTAATAAAATGTATTATTTCCCAGACACCTAACGTAAGTTTTTAAAATATCAACATCTGCTATAAATTGGGATACCCCAAAACTCAGTATTAACATTTAAAACCCCATCCAACTAAAGCAAAGTTTCTTACTTCTTTAAATGGTACCTTAGGCATATCAATAAGAAGTCTCTTCAAGTCTGAACTCAAAAGGAATGCCCTGTAGATAAATATCTGAGAGATCACAATTTTTATATAATGATAAACAAATATCTATTTCTAAATGCTAAAGTTTACTTTGTGTTTATGAGAATTTTGTCCTTCCCAAATGATTTTTAAAAACACAATTTACTCTTATAACTTCCTCTGTGAGTGAGAGCAGGATTAACTATCTTTTTTCTTCCCACTGACAGGGCAATACCATGGAGAATAGATGAGGTAAAGTGTAACGCTCAAGGTCACATGCCAATCCGTACTGCCACTCAATGTGAAAGGCCATGAGCCCACGTCATTAGACAATGCATGTGTTATTTTTCTCTCCTTTCCATCACTACCTGATATAACTATCCATTTTCCCACTATAAGCATAGAAATCACAAACCCTAAAGGTTATTTCTACTCCTTTTCTTTCCAAAGACTTCTTCACAACAAATACTGCATTTTTAAAAGTTGGGAACATTAGCCAGCTACTCAGGAGACCCAGGCAGGAGGATCACTTGAGCCCAGGAGCTCAGGCCTGCCTGGGCAACATAGTGAGATTCCACCCAACCCCAATAAAGTTGGAAACATTGTAAATGTCTATAAAATCCTAATAAATAGCCAAATGTCTTCACAAAAGCAGTTAAATGAAAGATATTTGAGCTGTGGAAACAATGTCATGCAAAAATATGTCAAGGAAAAACTTGAGATGAGACTTTCCATTTTGCTGACCAGATCCTTAAGTTTTTTTCTATATGCCTATAAATTATTTCAAATTTTGCTTTTTGATTAACTGCTTTAAAAGTATTCATACAAAAAGAAAAGGGCAAGCTTTCTAAAAATCAATTGTTTTAAAAAATGAAAATGCAATATATTCAACTCAACTGGATAACAAGATTTGGAGAAACAAAGGTCTATGTACTCAAAGTTACACGCATTGTAACTAACAAATGTTTCATATGTTAGAAAAGTTTTAACAATGTTATGAGACACTATAACACTTCTGAGTAGATTAGTATTCAGATTTTTTTGCTGAGGATCCTTTCTCAATTCTTGTATTTTATAACTTTGGAGGGCACAGTAATTAAAATGAATTTTATTGACAAGTAAAACAGGATGATTCTATAAATGAAGCAGGTGGTAGGCCCCATCATTTTTGCTTATTTAAAAATGTATATATTCCACAATTATGTAATGCCTATTAAAGTATGTGGTAAAGTGCAAAGTTTAAGTGTTTTATTTACTAATTACATACACCTCCTTTATGATCCTATCACACTATTTATTGCAGCTATTCCAATACCTAATTATCTATTAAGACTATTCAAAATAAAGAGTTTGGGGCTGGGATTGTGGCTCAGTGGTAGAGCGCTCACCTAGCACGTGTGAGGCCCTGGGTTCGATTCTCAGCACCACATATAAATAAGTAAAATAAATGTATCATGTCAACCTACAACTAAAAAATAAATATTTTTTAAAAAGAAAGAGTTTTATTCTTGAATGGCAAGAAAAATAAGGCTCTGGTCCTTAAGGAAATGATAAAATTTTATTTTACAGTGTTAGGTTGAAAAGTCTCTTTATTATTAATTCTGAGGCAGAGAAAATAACTACCATATTTTCAGACATTCAAAGTCTAATTTGTGTAATTTACATTAACAATAACATTCAACTTAATGACAAAGTTTGGGAATAAGAGAGTCATGATAAAAAATTGACATATCAGGCAACAAAGGAAAATACCAGACGGGCTTTTCAGGTGACTTTTAATTTATTCTTCAAAATGAAAATTTGTCTTTATTTTTTCTCTCACTGGGGATTATCCAGGGAAGCTCTACCATGGAATTACATCCCCAGCCCTTTTTATTTTTTTACTTTGAGACAGGTCTCACTAAATTGTGGAGGCTGGCCTCCAACTTGTCATCCTGCTGCCTCCAGAGTCATTGGTATTTCAGGCGTGTATGACCATGCCCAGCCAAAAACTATTAGTAAAAGACAAATTATATTGTGAATCCCCTCACTTATTCTCTAGTTACAAAAATAATAATTGAGAAAGTGAAAATTCAATTTAACAATACAAATAACAGTATTCTTCATAGTATCATGTGTACTGTTCATTCAACTACTCATAAATGATTTGAGAATAACATTGTTTAATTCTACAAGTATTCATTAAGCTTCTTTTTGTGCTAGTAGCTTTGCTAGGCAACAGAGATTAACTCATGATTGAAACACTACTGTTACCCTCAAAAAGCTTTCTGTTTAGTAGGAGAGAAAACTAGATATCAGCAAGTATGTGATCTATATTATAATTTTAATAGAGGCAGTAATTATATTATACAAGTTCAAATGAACAAGTGATCAACTCAACTCATTCAATAATCAAACTTCTTAAAGGCTCTGATAAACTCTAGTTCAAACATCAGACATATTGATTAAATTATATTTATTTTATTAACAGCAATGATTCTTTATCTTTGCAAAAAAAAATACGTGTAAACAAAATAGTCATTCATATTTCAAGAAATACCAAGCAACATGAAAGAGCTGAATGTGGGCCCACCATAATGGTACATGTTTATAATCCCAGCTACTTGGGAGTCTGAGGCAGGAGTATCTAAATTTCAAGACCAGTCTCAGCAACTTAGCAAGACTCTGTTTCAAAAAAAAAAAGAAAGAAAGAAAAGAAAAAGTAGGGTTGGGGAGGTAGCTCAGCAATAGAACCCCCTAGGTTCAATTTCCAGTGATGGGGGGAAAAAAAAAAGCTAAAAAGCTTAATTGGTCAAGATACATATCCCAAATGCTACTAAAATCTGTACATACTAACTCATTTTATCCATACCTCTCACCATAACCCTATGAAGCAGGTGCTACCATTATTCCCATTTTACAGATGAGAAATCTATGGTTAATTTGACCAAGGTCAAAACAGAAATGCTGGGCTTGAACCTACAGAATCTGGTTCCAGAGACTCTACTCTTAGCCACTACATTTGACACCCTCTCTGAGAATGGTGATAATTATGAGGCAGCTAACACAGTGCTCTGTGTTGTCCACTCTGATTAATCTTTACAGCAACCCTTTAAAAAGGAGTCTCCCTTCCCATGTATAGGAGAAAACCAGCACAGAGCAGTTTAGAAATTTATCCAAGGTCACAGAGCCAGTGAGGGATGGCAAAATTCAAATTCAGGCAGTATACCTCCCCTGTGCTATCTGGCCTTTCAAAGGTTCAGTTGTACCCTCATGAAAAAGGTCACATGCTGAAATTTATTAAGCAATTCAAAAAAGGCTTTGTATAAGTCTTTCTGAAACACATTGAAAGGTTTGGAGTTTATGACAAGCATTTCTTTAAGACAGCATTTACATGTAAGTCACTTTTCAACTTTACTACTTGGGACTGATCATAAACACATTTCTGCTCTTTAAAAAGAATCTTTCTGTAGCAACTTGGCAGATTTCAGTACAGGAACAGTCTATTCTTTAAAATTAAATTTAGCAACAACTTATTCTGGTTAGTCTGAAAGAGAAGGAGAGAATTAACTACTAAGAAGCCTTTCCTGTACTTTAATATTTCAAAACATGTTTAGTTTGGCCTAATTTGACTCTTGTGGACAACTAGCCCAGAACTTGATTCAAAAAGAGTAATACCAATTTAAAATAGCAGAATTCTAAACAGTGACCACAGAAGCCAATTCAGAATAACCATTCTCATAATTTTTACTTTTATCTCACACTAAATATTAAAGATGCATAAGACAAGGTTGTCATAAAGCACATAAGGGTAGATATTTGTACTTTTGAACTACTGATAACCAAGAAACCAAATTAAAATTTTACAAAAAAAAAAAAAACTGTAGAATGACATTGTTTAAAGAGTAATACAAGTACCAAAAGATGAATATCAAAGGAAACATAATCCATATTTCTCATATATCCTTAACACACTCCACTGTGTCCAGTAACTGGGAAACACAAAATTCTGTACTGTGATGCCTCCCTAGAATAGAAAGGAGCTAAAGACGAAGTGTTAAACGGAATTTCCATCTTACCTTGCTTTTTCCTCCAACAGGTTCAAAGACTTCATAACCTTTAATCCTGAATTGATATTTTTTCAAAAGGGAACCATAAAATTATCTTTAAAAAATAACACTGAGCGATGCCACTAGGCAACCTGTCTTTCCTTGCTCTATCACCACACATTCAAATGAATAATACCTTCTGCTTTGCCTTTACTGAACAAAAGTTAACTTTGATTTACAGGAAAATGTACCCATTAGCCATTTTACACTTTTTGCAGGTCACAGAGTCTATCGGATCACATCGCTATTACTGCTCACTAGGCATCCAAAAGACAGAAAGCATGCCATCACCAATTATTGTATAAGCGTTATAATGCCCCGATGGTGGAAGTCTGGCAATACCTAGAAATACAGCAAGGCTGGTGAATAAGGAGTCGAGGGGCGGGGGAAGAGGGAGCAAGGGAGGGAGGGAGTCGCCACCTCAAATCCACGCCGGACCAGGAATCTCCAGCCCACAACCTGATCCCTGCCCTCCCCAAGAGCGGACCGGCTACCGCGTTTGGATCTCACATCCCCCACCCCCACCAAAGAAAACCTACATGGTACTCACCCTTTTGCAAAGTCTGCACCCGGTCCAGCTCCGAGACGGGTCGGGGTGGCAGCGAGGGAGGGGACGTCTGGGCTGTGGGCTGGGGGGGGGGGGGGTGTCGGTGCGTCACTCGAGTGCAGGACGGTGAGTTCGACGGGTGGGAACGGAAAGGAGCAGGGAAATCAAGTCACGGTCGAAAAGGGAGGAGGAAAAACCGAGGGGGTGGGGTGAGGGAGCGCCCCTCCCTAACATAAACCCACCGGCCCCTACGACCCTTGCCCCCGCCGAGGAAAAAGAAAAACCAGGGGAAATAATAGTCTGACAAATAAATCTCTAAAACGATGAGGAGCGAGGAACGGACTTTAATTTAAAGGAGCAAAACTGAGCAAGGGCTGGTGGGGAGACAGAGAGAAGTGGCTTTGGGTCTATCCCATGCCTTTGCAGTCCCCAAGCAGAGGAGGAGGCTGGCTGAGGGGAAGTTGCAGCGGCTCCCTAGGAGGAGGAGGAGAAGGAGGAGAAGGAGGAGAAGGAAGATGTTACACCGTAACAAGTACAGACAGACAGCCATGGATCAGAGGGGCGCTGCGAGCAGGGGCTGCCGCGGCGGGGCGAGCGGCAGCGGGCGGCAGCACCGCCTGCTCAGCTCGCTCAAGACATTTAATTGGATTGATGGGTTGTGCAGTGACTCACAGACTTTACAGAGTCGTACAGCAGTCCCCGCCCAGCTGGACAGGGGAGATGCGGCGGGGACGGGCGGGGTAAGGGGGCCGAGGGAGAGCCGCGAGGGGAGGAGGCTACTGGGAGGGCGAGGCGTTGCGGGGCGGGGAGCGGAGCGGAGCCGCCCCATGGCGAGGCCTGCCGTCCCGACGGGCATGAGTATCGACCAATGATGGTGCGGCTCGATAGGCGGCTGGCTTCGCCCCTGGCCCAATGAGTCTTCTAAGGACACTGCCGCGAACCGGGCGGGGGAAGTGGAGTGGGGGGTGGGGAGAGGTGGGTGGACGTTGAAGTGGGGGGTGGAGGGAAAGACAAGGCGCCGGAGACCAGCGGAGTCACTCTGCCCTCCTCGCTCCAGAAGTGCGCCTTCTGCCAATCCGAGCGCCGCGTGGGGGTGATGGACGTAAGCGGATGGCCAATGAGGAGGAGAAAGTTGCCGCAGGGAGCCAGAGGGAAGGAGCCGGCGGGCCCACGCCCTCCCTCTCTACCCAGCCGGGTCCTCCCTCCCACCCCGCTCGGGTCAGTCACGCAAATAACAGTGTGAGGGCTGGGGCCGCCCGGGGGGGCGGGGGCCGTGCTGCTGGCTGCGTGACAGCGATAGGGACTGGCTGTGCTGCCGACTCCGCGCCGGCAGGAGGAGGCGGCAGCGGAGGGTTGCTCCTCACTCAGCTTGCTGGCTGCTGCTGCTGCTGCTCAGCCTCTGCCTGGCGCTGCCCGGGAGCCCCTGCGGCCAAACCCCACTCCCGGGGGATAACCCGATTTGGAGTGAATCACATCCAAAGTTGGCCCATGTCTACACAGTGCCCACTTTTGGAGACAACTCTGTGTGAAGTCAATGAGGATGTGTTCTGGGATCTGAGGAGCCTGCAAACCAGAGGAGACGGGAGGCTTAGCAATGGCATTTGTCCCTCGCCTGTTTTCTGGGAAAGTCAGGGTAGGGTGTGGACAGGTTGAAACAGCTCCTGAAAACACACCGTGTCTTTATTGAGTTTCTGGAAAAGGCACTTAACCTGGCACGAGTGAAGCTGTATCGGCTTTGCTTTTTCAGTGCATGCGTGTACCTTAGTTTCCTCCCAACCCACCCGCCCTCACCGCTCTTTCTCCCACTTCCTCACCTTGAACCCTGATGGCAAGGCTCGGGCGCACCCACTCCTAGATCTCCTCACTGCTGATTCCCAGGATCTATGGCGTTTCTCAATATCTTGGCCACTCTCCAATAATTATTTCACATATCTTAACCCTTTCCATGCACTTGTGCTTGGAAGTAACTGCAATCACCAATAAACCCGAATAGAGATGCCCTCAGAAGCACTGGCTAGAGCTCATCTTCTTTGCTCCAAGGTGCATTCCCGAGGCTTAAAATAATTACTTTCTGTCAAGAAACTAAGGAAAGGCAAATCAGATATTGCATTTGTATTCCCATCCACTCAGTATACCCAACATTCACTTTCCATATACAAGTCTACTAGAGATGGAGGATTAATATAGGGTCTTGAGGTGAGCGAGGTAATTTTTTTTCCCACATAACTGAAACCTACAGTGGTCTGGAATCAAAAGAGATGTATTAAGTAAAAACAAAGGTTTTACTCTAGTCATTTGGGGGCTTGCCTTGATTATGTCACTTTAGGATCAGATCCTTCTCCTGGGCTTAGCTGTGACACAAAACCTGATATCTCTTACCTCTCCCCCTTCTGATTTAAGCCTGCACCAGGATTTCTGTAATTCTAAATCCACTTAGGAAAGTGAGCTGTATCACAAACTTCTTGTAGCACACAGGTTATGTATACGTTGTCCCTTAATGTGTTAAAACTCCTTTGGAGTTCTGCAGGGCAAAGAGACCAGTGTCCTCCCGCTAAAACATCCTGATCCACAGAAGGTACACAGTGTTCCCCTGGCCAGGGTTCTGTGATAAGTTCAACAAACTAGATCCCTCATGTGGGGAAAATCTGCTGCATTTTCTAATGTAGATTACTGTATTACATTTAAGAATGTGCTTGTGAAACATGTTAGAAAGCCCTTTTCTTATTTCTTCCTCTGAGAAGTCGTTTTGTGGACAAGTGAAAGTAGATGGTGAAAGTATTATTTTACATACTGTGGTGGGTACTATAAAAACAGAAGAAGATTTTGAGTCTAGACATTCACTAGTATATTTCAGAGGATTCCCAAATACCCAGGATTAGCATCTTGTGGCAAAAATTGCCCCTTTGTCAATTGTTACATGCCTCCAATCCACCATGAGTCACTTTCTAATTCTATGCTCTTCCTATTCCAATATTTCTTAAATTATGTGTAAGGCCCACCCAGGTTTCTGGGTCCACTCTCAGATTACTGAGTCATCCATTTCTTTAGCTTGTACCTGGACATCTTTCTAAACATATAACCCAGGGGACTTGAACTAGTATTGAAATTTTAAATATTTAAATACAATACATATTTTATTTGAGAATCCCTATTTATTCCTTCCTTTCTTCCTATTTTTTTCATTCTCTCACATGCCTATCTCCTTGCTTCCATGTTTCTTCTATTTTCATTTTTGTGATCACTTCCCTCTCTATGTTTCTTGTACACAGGCCTAGTACGTGGGTAATCCCTAAAAAAAGAGGATGAAGCTGAAAAACTGCCCTTCACGAATGACATGGGCATACTTTGGAACTATAACACTGAAAAGTACAGTGAAGTCAAATAAAAATGTTAGAAGCCTAAAAGAACAACTGTAGCTTATTTTATGTATGATTCAGTGTGTGTATATAAAGTTTAGCTAATTTATGATCTCAAAGTTCACACAAGCAGAATTTTTCCTACATGTGATCTACATTTCAAAATCTAAATTTCTACATGCAAATGCTATATTTCTATTGTTACTATATTTTTTTTCTTTTGAACAGTGGAGTGAGACTAGTGATATGCTTAGATTGTGTGCCTAATTTTTTTAGAAAGTACTATGTTGTCTCAAATAGCTTACAATCTGGTTGAGAGGCTCAAAAGTACACACATGAGACATTTAAATAGGAACCTGAGGAAAAGTCTAGGAACTTTAAGTGTGTTTGTCAGGAAAAAAAGATGGATTTGGTGCATATTTATCTACTTTTCCTTTTGCTTATCTGTACTTTCTAATCTATTGTGATGTGAGTTACATGTACAAGTTTATAGAATCTAAAATAAAATACAAGTGACATGTGCTAAAAGATTTCTTCCTCTTTACTATTACTTAGCTTATAGGGTTATAGCTGATCTCCTCAATTAGATTATTTAAGTTCCATACAAACAGTTTTGAATATATACTACCCACATGAACCAGGAAGCAAAAGCAAATTCTTTATCATAGATAAAGGATTAATCTCAAACCTTACAGAATTCCCACATATAAATGCTGGGCAAACATGAGCTCACAATTTGAATTACAAAACAAATGAGGAAAAAAAAAAGCCATTTGTGAAAAAGAGGAAGCACAGCAGAACACACACACACACACACACACACAGTAGAATTTAATTCTGAATCTGAAAAAAAAAGTTCAAGAAAGTGATAGGCCCAACCAGGCACAGTGGCACATGCCTCTAATCCCAGAATTTGAGAGGCTGAGAGAGGAGGATCACAAGTTCAAAGCCAATCTCAGCAATTTAGCAGGGCCCTAAGCAACTTAGCAAGACCCTGTCTCAAAAACAAAACAAAACAACAACAACAAAAAAAAAAAACAGGCTAGGGATGTGGCTTAGTGGTTAAGCACTCCTGAGTTCAATCCGTGGCACCCAAAAAAGAAAAAGTAAAGAAAAAAAGAATAAGCCTACTTTGCTTGTGAACATGGTTGCAAAAATTATAAATAAAATATTATCCAACTAAATACAACATGCTTGCTATGTTGAGCTTGGAGAAACTTTGAAATCCATTTCCCTTCTACCCGCTATACTTTGGACCTTGACTACCCCCAAAAGCCCATATATGGATGACTTGGTCCCCAGCCTGTAGCACAATTGGGAAGTGGTAGAACCCTTAGAAGGTAGGGTCCAGTGAAAGGAAATAAGGTCATTTGAGATATGCCCTAGAAGGGGATATTGGGATCCCCACCCCTACTCTCTCTTTTGCTTCCCAAAGGCCATGATGTACACTTCTTTGCTCTACCATGTACTCCAACCATGCTTACTGCTTCACCTGAGGCCCCCCAAAATGGATCAACTGAGCATGGATTTAAACTTCTAAAAATATGAGTCAAAATAAACTTTTCTTCCTTATAAGTTGATTGTCTCGGGTATTTACAGTTATGGAAAGGTGACCAATGTACCACCTATCTAGCCATCTCTCATAAAAACATAATAAATCAAGTAGAGGCTATTCTAGAAATACAAGTATGACTTAACACTAGAAAATCTATCCATGTAATTTATCTAGAAAATACGAAGAGAAAAAGCATTTGAGAAAGTATATCACCTATTAATGATAATTTTTTTTTCTGAAAAGTAGAAATAGAAGGAAATTTACTTAACTTTATAAAGGAACAAAATGTACAGCAAGAATGTTACTTAATGGATTAACTTTAGCACATTCCATTTAAGTGTGAGATCAAGATAGTGTTGTTACTATTGTTTAACATGAGACTACTGAAAGTCCTAGCTAAGTGAATAATATATTTTAAAGAAGGAAGAAAGTAAATAAAAGAAGTACAAAGAAGGAAACAAAACTGGAATTATTTGCAGTAATATGATCAACCATAGAAAACATCCAACATATCCAAAATAAATGATCAGAAATAACAAGGGTTGGGCATAGTGGTGCACACCTCTAATTCCATATATTTAGGAGACCCAGGCAGGGGGATCACTAGTTTGAGGCCAGCCTTGGCAACCTAGTGAGACCCTGTCTCAAAAGTTAAAAGTACTGGAGATATAGCTCAGATCCCTGGGTTCAACCCTCCTAAGTGGAAAAAAAAATCAATTAGTTCTTGATTTCATCATAAACTCAATGCAAATCGAATTTGTAGCAAGATATTAGGAATTT